TGGAACTCACTATATAGACCAGGCTGGCCTCGAACTCACAAAGATCCTCCTGCCTCTGCCTCCCAAGTGCTAGGATTAAAGGCGTGCGCCACCGTACCCAGCTGATTCAACTTTTTAATCAAAGATGTTTATGTGTAATGTATGTCTGTGCACATTGAGTCCAGCAGGGGTCCACAGAGGCCAGAGACATCAGATTCCCCACTAAAGCTGGAGTTACAGGCAATTATTGTGAGCCACCTGATGTGGGTACTAGGAATTGAACTCTGGTTCTCTGCAAGAACAGGATGCACTCTTAACCAAACCACTGAGCCAGCCCAGACACAACAATTTAAAGAACACAAAATGTACAAGTAGTCTCCGTTGACCTAAAACTTGCTATGTAGCCAATGTACAGGACATAATCTCTCTCAAGGGCTTATCAGTCTACTATTTTATTAACACTAAGCATCACTGCTAAAGGATATTCTCTTAGGGAAAATGGAATAAACAAATGCAACCAAACATTTTAAGAACAGTAATAATGTCATTCATCAGGCACAATTCCCAGACCAATTTAAGTAAAGGAAACCTAATATTAAGCAGTCTTTTATTATATGAGTTATGTTCATTTGTTAACATTTACTGAGTGCCAAACGGGCTCAAGTTCACCCTCCACTACCTATGTGTCCTTGGTTAAATTATTAAGTACCTCCAATGCCCGAGTTCCTCATCTATAAATTAAAAAAAAAAAAATCAAAAACCAAAACCAAGAAGCTATCTCATAATGTTGTGATAAGCACTAAGAATGCTTAAAACTCAGGAAATATTACTCTGAGACAGGTCTCATCAGGTCCACACTGGCCTGTAACTTGCTATTGTAGCCAAGGATAGCCTTCAACTCCTGATCTTTTTGTCTCTAGTTCTCAAGTGCTGGAATCCTAAGTAGTTTTTTTGTTTTGTTTTATGTTTTTAAATGTTCTAGCCTTTTTAGCTGTTGAAGACACCAAACATTTCTTACTCCCAAGTTTGAATAAACACTTAAAAACAAAACATGGAGTAGAATGTATTAAATTGGAGGAAGGCATAATCACCTTTGAAGACAGGCAATCTATCCTGTTGACAGAGCAAACTGATGAGATCTCATCAGTTTGTTTTCCCTCTCCTTGGGAGTAAGAAGGAGAAAATTATATAATCTGAACCCTTTTGCTATGAAATTAAGACTACAGGAGGTCAATTCGATATTAAAAACTGAAGCACACTACTATCAGGACACAGAAAATGAGTAGTATTTTCTTCACAAAAATGGACATTTTGTGAAGTAATGTATATATCCCCATAACACAAACAACACTCAGTGCTCAGTTTCAGAGCCACACAGAAAACTAGTTTCATGCTTTTCTGACAAGAACCCAACTTGGCTCCTAAAATTTTCATTAAATTTGGTCCCAAATGACTTTGGGTTGTTTTAAAACTTGAAAAAGTCTTCATGGGATGAAGATTTCTGACCATGAAGTCTATTTAAAAGAATCATCTACTGGTTCTGAAGGCCATTTCAAGCATCTTGCACACTGCTGGAAAAAGTGAAGTGTCTCTAACAACATTTTTCTGGGTGCATAAATAAATGCTATCACTTAGAAAACAGCTAAAGTGCTCTGTAGTCAGCTAGTTATCCCGAAGGACAAGAGCAAAGAACTTCCCAGCTGAGACTGCTGTGAAGTCACCATGTGCTGAGGCATGCTTCCGAGTCCTCTCCTCTGGCATTTTGTGGCAGAAATTATGAGTAGGTCACTGACAATATACTGATCACTATGTGCTAGATGAGTACGGCAGGTGAAGTTTCAGCAGTTTCCGAGCAGGTGAAGAATCTACTTGCTCCATGCTACTTTTCTCTGCAAAGAAAAGGAGTCAAAAAGTAAGTTTCTATTCAACTCACATCAAATATACGGGAAACATGGGAAACAATGTGTGGACACTGCAAGACAGTGAAGGGTATTACAATGTCAAAAGTCTTTGTTATTTGCTCAAGGGGATGGCAGCCTAGTAGGAAAGCCAGGCACCACCACAACCACAATACAATGTGATACATAAGAAAATGAAGGCATGCATAGCAAATCAATTAGAGCTGGGGACTGGAAAGGTGGCTTAGTGGTTGGGAGCACTGGTTGTTCTTGCAGAAGACTGGGGTTCCATTCCCTGCACCCACATAGTGGCTAACTCTGTTTGCAACCCCAGTTCTAGGGGAATCCACCACCCTCTGCTGGCTTCCATGAGCACTGCATGGCACATGTGCGCTTACATACATGCAGGGAATACACTCAAACACATAAAATAAAAATAATAAATATAATATTTTTTAAAAGTTAAGGCTGGGCCGGACATGGTGGCGCACGCCTTTAATCCCAGCACTCGGGAGGCAGAGGCAGGCAGATCTCTGTGAGTTCAAGACCAGCCTGGTCTACATAGTAAGTTCCAGGGCAGCTGGGGCTAGAGGGAGACCCTGTCTCAAAAAGACCAAAAAAATAAAACAAAACAAAAGTTAAGGCTAGAGGAAGCTAGGAAAAACCATGGAAGAGTAACAACAGTGTTACTCCATACATTCTTGAAAATGGAAGGTTAAAGACAGTGGGTATTTTCATGGGACACTTATGTAAAATTTACACGAGAAATTTTTCATCACATTTGACTTATTGTGGGGAGAAAAACAAGTCTAACAGTAAAGACCTGATAAGACAGTGTTCCAAGTGATAACAGATACAGAACAGCATAAACTCTGGTCTCAAGTGACACTTACCAAGTTGTACTGAGACCTTCTGGAGGCACTGAGTACTTTCATCCATAAAGGCATGCAGCTGCTTCACAGATCCTTGCAGCTCATCCATCTGCAGATAAAGGTCAGTGTGAGCTGCAGGACTCCAGAGTTTCTTTGATGCTCCCCACAATGTCAGCAAGCTCTTGTTCAGGAGCTTTAGGCCTGCTGTTCTTTCAGCCTGGAATGCTCCTGCCAGACAGTCTCTGTTGCACCCACTGAAACACATCCCACTTTTCTCCAGCTGGTTCTATGTCCCAGGACACTGACCCCCATACCTCTCCCAACATGATGTCAGGTCCTCTAGCTTTTGGTTGGGTGTGACCACAAGATACTATAGCCACTGTACGTAGACTAGCAACCCATTGCCCTCCCTGTATTCCCTATTCCCTTTACTCTGCTTCATTAGCACTTAACAATGTCTACTTGCTTTTTTAACTTTCCATGTTTTCCCAAGGTAGAGGCTAATGTCTTTATTACACAGGCCTTCTGATTTCCAATCTTGAGTGTCCCCCTCAGTCTTACACTTTACTTGGTTTCTAATCAACGACTAGTTCACTAGCAATTTACTAATTTCCTAGTCATTTAGGTCACGGGAGTGTGACCTTAGGGGCTCTTAGGATGCTGGCCTTTCTGCTCTCTTCTCTCTGACACCCAGCATCATGATGGGAGCAGTCTTTTCTGCTACATGGCACTACCACAAGGCACTGTAGAGTCACAATCAACAGAGTCTAAATAACCATGGAATGAAACCTCCGAAACTAGAAATAATCCATTCCTCCTTATAAGTTACTTCAGGTATTTTGTTACATAATGCAAAAGGTAAGAAAGATGGCAGGGCTATAAAGCTGCATAGTCAGCTAAACAAACCTGAAGCAACTTACCACCAACTCCACACAATCAAAGACTTTGTTCTGGTTCTGTAATATTTTCTGATAGTCAGGCTTTGTGTTAAGAATGTCTTTCTGGGAAGACCCAAGAAATGTTGTAGGATCCACTTTGACTTCAGTGATTTTGGTTTCAGCTGTCTCTCTAAAAATAAAACAAAACAAAACAAAACAAAAAAGCTTTCTACGATCATTTTCTGGAAAAGATATAAATTATCTTTGTGAAAAACTTCCTATAAGACTGAATCAATTATTTCCCAGGGTACTATATATGCTAGTCAAGTACTTAGTATTAGATAACACACCCTGTTCCTGGTACAGGTTCTTTTTATTTGTTTGGTTAGGTTTTTTGAGTCAGGGTCTCCCTGTAGCCCCAGCTGGCCTACGACTGACTATGTAGACCAGGCTGACCTAGATTGCACAGACACCTGCCTGCCTCCCCGAGATTAAAAGTGTGTGCCACCACACCCTGCTTGGTACAGGCTCATTCAGCAGGTAAAGATGCCTGCCATCAAGCCTGACAACCTGAGCTTGATTCCTGGGACCCACATGGTAGAACAAGAGATCCAACGAGCAAGTTGATCTCTGACCTCCATGCCCATGCTGTAGCATTAGCACACATGTGCAGATACACATGTGCACACACACATAAACACACAATAAAGAAATTTAATAAAAAAAATTTTTTTAACGAATTAAAAAATAGGGACTGGAGAAATGGCTCAGCAATTAAGAGGACTGGGTGCTCTTGCAGAGGATCTGGGTTTGGTTCCCAAGGAGGCTAACAACTGCCTATAACTCCAGTTCCAGGGAGGTTTCAAAGCCCTCTTCTGGCCTCTGGAGGCATTAGTCACGTATGATGCACATACACACATGCACGCAGAACACTCATACCCAAAATTAAAAAAAATAATAATAAATAAAGAATTCAAAATGCAAATAAATATAAAAGAATGGACTGAGCCGGGCGTGGTGGCGCACGCCTGTAGTACCAACACTTGGAAGGCAGAGGCAGGCAGATCTCTGTGAGTTCAAGGCCAGCATCTAAATAGTGAGTTCCAGGACAGCTGGGGCTACAAGGAGACCCTGTCTCAAATAAAAAAAAAAAAAAGACCAAAACAAACAAACAAAAAACTAACCAACCAAACAAACAAGAATGGATTGAAGAGATGGTTCAATGGGTAAAGGTGCTTGCCACCACACCCCACAACATGACTCAATCCCCAGGATCTACATGGTGAAAGGAAAGAACTGACTACAATACCAAGTCCCCTCTGACCTCCACATGTGCATTGTGGTATGTGTATACACAGACACAGACACAGACACACACAGACACACAAAAATAAGTGTAACAACAACAAAAATACCAAATAATAAAAAACAAGAGGTTCTGAAACAATTATACACACCACTGGGTTCTAGAAAATATTGGGAGCTTCAGATCACTTGATTCCACCTAACAGTAAGTACATAAAAAGGACTATGCCTATGGTGGAGTGAAGCCCAAACTTGCTATTCTAAAGTCAACATCTATGATCATTTACCAAGGGTAGGGGCTGGGAAGATGGCTCAGTGGTTTAGAGCACTGGCTGCTCTTGCAGAGGGCCCAAGTTCGATTCCCAGTGTGATAACAACTGTCTGTAACTCCAGTTCTAGGGGAGCCGATGCTCTTCTGACCTCCATGGGCACTGCATGACACAAGTACACTTACATACATACAGCAATAAACTCATATACATAAAATTTAAAAATAAATTTAAAAAAATTAAAAAAAAAGTGTTTATCATGAAAGCCTAATGAACTGAGTTTGATCACCAGATCCCACAGTGGAAAGAGAGAACTCCCAAAGGTTGTCCTCTGACCTTCATATGAAAGCTGTGGTCTGCATACCCATGTGTTCCCTCTCTCTCGCTCTCTCTTCCTCTCTCTCCTTCCTCAACAATAAATAAAATAAAAACATAAAATAAAAAAAAAAATCTGACATACTTCCGTTATCTAAAAAGTGACAGAAGAAGGAGACTTCATGAAAACTGATGATGACCTTCTCATAACAAAAATTTACCAAATGTTTCTTAGGTGCTACACATGGCTAGTGACTTTCCATTTAAGTACATTTAATTGTCATAAAAACCCAGTGAGCTAGACTAATATTATCCCCAATTTCAAGTGAGTAACTTCAGCGTCTAAGAGATAAGTGATTTGCCCAAAGTCATAAAACTAAAAAGTAAGTGGCTAGGATCTTAAGAATCACTCTGCTTCCAGAAACAATCCTCTTCAACTACCTTTGCAACAGAAGTTTTTATTCTTAAACTGTCACCTTATACATTATCCATCTTCATAAACAGAATATATATGGAATAAAGTAACTGATTCAAAAGCCTCTTTCTACTAAATTGGGGTTTCAGCTAACATTTTATAGTTGGGTTTAAAGGTAGGATTTGGTTGGGTAAGAAAAAGCTTTAAAATACCAGCTGAATGGCTGTGGTGGTATACACTTATAACCCCAGCACTTGGGAAGCTGAGGTAGGAGGACTGTGAACTTGAGGCCAGCTTGAGATGCCTAGTGAGAACACAGCTTAAATTAACAAGAAAACCAGTTCATATGCTCAACTAAACCAAAATCTAGTACTTTCCCATCTTCCTCCTTCAAGATCTAAACAAAGATCCCCCCTTTGCACTTGACACCTCTGCTACCATTCCCTTTATGTTCTTACAAGGTCCCAGCAGGGCATGCTCCCATATCTGCAGCTCAAAGGCCATTGTTCTTGGCACAGTGCCAGGTGACCAGGTGCAAGGCAGCTAGCTGCATGCCCACCTCCCTAGGGACTGTGAACAGTAGCCAAGAACACAGCACAGAAGCGATTCTGACTTAGGACTGAAAACAGTGACACCCATTAGCCCTCCTTTGTCCTTTCCTCTCTACTTATGGTCAAAGAAAACTACTATATACTTTTTTTTTTTTTAATTATCTTCATTTTATGTGTATGTGTGAATTGCCTGCATGTAGGTAAGTGCACCCGTGTCGTGCAATGCCTGAGGAAGTCTGAAGAGGCTGTCGGATCCCCTGGGGCTGGAGTTACAGACAGTTGTTAGCTGCCATGTGGGTGCTGGGATTTGAACGTGGGTCTTCTGCAAGAAGTCAGTGTTCTTAACTGCTGAGCCATCTCTCCAGCCCCCTAGTATATACTTTCTAGACTCTTGATAACTTGACTGAATTGAGAATAGATTCATCATTCAGTTCATATTAATGGATCTGAACTAAACACAAATCAAACTCCACAAAGCAAAAAGACAGGTGCTTATTTCCAGTTCTCAGACCTAACCTGTGCATCTCTTCTGGTGGAGCCTCCTTCTGGTAGCGAAGTAAAAGCTCATCCCAAGCATGACATTCTAAATTAAACCTGCGGAATTTAGGAGGGAAAAATCAGTTAACTTGGTCTTGTCCTTCATCTCTCGGGACAACAATAAGTACTTCAAACATATAATCTGATTATAAAATGTGCATTACAAGGTCATTAAAGGATTAGAAAGTTCAACTGATTCAGAGGATATCAGTTTAATCAAGTCATGCAAGCTGTTAGAATCAAATTAACATCTTTGTTCTCTGGACTCCGTCCTAGGAAACTGGCCATTGGTGCTGGCCATGAGCTCTTATCAACAGCCTTCTGACTTCTAGAGCTGATGCACTACTACACCATGTTTACCAGGCACTAGTGCCAGGTTTGGTTATGTTTCCCAGATAGAGAACAAATTTCAGTTTTCCAACAACTTTGCTGGAAACTCATTTTCACTCACTTTGTCATATATTCCTTCATCTCAGCCACTGATGTTTCCAGAGAAAAATCTGGTACTTTTCTGGAATACAGATAATATTGAGATCAATATGAATCCTTCAACAAACACTTGCTTTTAATATGACTTACATAATTTTAGTGGCAAAAAGATACTCATAAATTTATTTTGAGGGGGGAGGGAATTTTTTTGAGGCAGGGTCTCCCTGTACCCCCAGCTGGCCTGGAACTCACTATGTAGACCAGGCTCGCCTTCAACTCACAGAGATCTGCCTGCCTCTGCCTCCCAAGTGCTGGGATTAAAGACATGCACCACCACACCTGGCTAAGATACTCATAAATTTTTATCTTTCAACAAATATTTATTCTTGGACTTAATTTCCACTTTGCACTACTAATAGCTAAATGGTTTTTTTTTGTTTGCTTGTTTGTTTTTTTGTCTTTTTGAAGCAGGGTCTCCTTGTAACCCCAGCTGTCCTGGAACTCACTATGTAGACCAGGCTGGCCTTGAATTCACAGAGATCCGCCTGCCTCTGCCTCCCAAGTGCTGGGACTACAGGCATGCACCACCACACCTGGCAGCTAAATGGTTTTTTAAAGCCTATTTCTCTCATCAATCCCAATGCACACCATGGTAATTAACCTTTTTAAACAGTCCTTTACTTCTTCTCACCTTGCTTCAAAACTGTAACTCTACTGCAAACAACTCTACTTAAAGCTTTCTCTGTTCCAATTCTCAACTCAGCCAGATGACTAATTCTAGTAGAAAAGAAGCAGGCACTGATATGCCAAAACATTGCAGATATTCCTGGTTTTCTACATGGAAAAGGCAGATTCATGGTACACACAATCTTGCTTCTCCACTGAGGCCTATATCACAAAGATGCAGCAGCCTGTACTTAAGTATACCACATTAAGAGATGCTTTGTGAGCTAAAATATTTCATTTCCTAGCAGGGCATGGTGGTGCACGCCTTTGATCACAACCTTTGTGAGGCAGAGGCAGGGCAATCTTTGTGAGACTGAGGCCAACCTGGTCTACATAGTGAGTTCCAGGCCAGCAGGGGCTACAAGGAGACCCTGTCTCAAGAAAAGAAAACAAAAGAGCATGATGGTATATAAGACACTGGAAAATATTTACTGTGCAAAGAGCTCAAGTTTTAATTCAGTTATAATAAAGGACAGAAGGGAACTGCTCTTACTCTTTTGAGTCTTCAAAACATTTTTGTAGAGTTCCATCACTTTCAAGTTTGTCTGTAAAATGTTTCAATTCTTCAGAAAGAGAAGAGGCTATAGAAGAGAAATTTATGTTAGAAAATGAAAATAATAAATTTTCACAATGAGCAGATGACAAAGATACTTAAGGTGCTCCTGAGTCTAGGGTCCCCTACCCTATTCCAGCTCTCACAGTCACCCAAAAGAGTAGTTTAAGTATGCAAAGATTTTATCCTTGGGGTTGGGGATTTAGCTCAATGAAAGAGAGCTTGCCTAGTAAGTTCAAGGTCCTGAGTTTGGTACCCAGCACTGACTGAGGGGAAATAAAAATACAAAAGAAGAATTTATCCCTTTCCTCTGGTAGACAGCTAAATGGAAGGCAACTCTTCTTTATGACTTTCATAGAAAAAGTAGTTAAACATGTAGGTCTACAATGTTTCATTTTTTTCAAGAGATGTGAACTTCTGTCACTGAAAAGAAAGTATGATAGAAGTCAGACAACAGGCAAAAATGTAGTAAGGAGCTGAAGAGATGAACAGGTAGTAAGAGCACCTGCTGCTCTTGCAGAGGGCCCAGGCTCAGGTCACAGAACCCACATGGCAGCTCACAACCGTCTGTAATGCAAACTCCAAAACCCTCTTCTGAATTCTATGGGTACCAGGCATACCCATGGTGCACATATATAGATGCAGGCCAAAGTTATACACGTAAGTAAAAATAAATAAATCTTTAAAATTAAATCTAAAAATTATGAGGATCCAAGGAAAAATAGAACCCCATTAGACTTAAAAGCCTAATATTACATTCAGGCAAAGAATGTAGTTAATTATCAAAATAATCTCAGCATATCTACTCTAACGATGGTATAATTCTGAGGTAAAAATATTTTACCTTGTCAGCAGATGTAAGTTTATATGTTTTCTAGGTATTTTAAATGGGCAATTTTGATTATTTTTGATCCTGGATGACTGTGTAGTTACACTAGTGGAAAAGACACCCTATAAGGTTGAAAATTTGATTCTTCAGAAAAAATATATGTAATTTATGTCACAGACGAATAGCTAATTCCTTATTACATAGAATTTGGGTTTGTTTGTTTTTTCCTTCTTTTTTGGTCTTTTTGAGATAGGGTCTCCTTGTAGGCTCAGCCTTGTAGGCTTTCCTTGAACTCGCTATGTAGACAAGGCTGGCCTTGAACTCACAGAGATTCACCTGCCTCTGCCTCCCGAGTGCTAGGGTCAAAGGCGTGTGCCACTATACCCAGCTATATTACATAGACTTTGAATCAATACAAAAGACAAACATTGCAGCTAAGGACCTGAACAGAGAGTTCGCAAAAGAAGTAAAGATGGTTATGAAACATCTTAAAAGATGTTCAACATCACTAATAATTAGGGAAATACAAATTAAAACCACTTTAAGATTTCATCTTACCTCAGTCAGACTGCCTAAGATCAAGAGAACAAATGATACCAAATGTTGGAGAGGATGTGGG